TTCTCTCAAATAATAAATAAGACCGTCTAGTAGTCCTTCATCATCCTCAATAAACATTTGATTGTTAATAACATTATAATAGACACGTGTAGAAATACGTGAACCTATAGCATTCACATGCGAGACAATAAAATATTCTTCATTCCAACACCCCCATCTATAATGACGAGAAGATTCGAGCCATACAATAGTATGAATATTTGCGTAGACCACATCATCATAACACCAAACTAATGCCGTAGAACCTTTATGGTTTGCAGATTCAAAAAATGTTACTATATTCCTATTAAATTCATATACTTCATCTTTATATGGATAGCAACGACAAGCCTTCTGTTCAGCCTCCATATGTCTACATCGGTCATAGTTTTAGATCGTCGTTTAAATGCGTTATTTAATAGCGATGAATTTAATACAGCTATGAGAAAATTACAAACCAAAATGGAAGATGACCATATACGGGCAATAGAGAAAAAACAACAGTATATAGGTGTGTGTTACAAAAAAAGTTAATCTCAATTGTTAAATAGACCATGGCAAAAACGGGCTATGTCTACCATCCTATTGAAGCATATCACAAATTAGTATAATTTCAGTAGTAAAAAATGGATTTCGAGCAATTTGATTGGTTAACTGAGTAGTAAATCTGAGGCATTATTTACTACCTGAGTAGTAAATAATGCTTCAAAATGGCTTCCCACAGTCGTTTTGCAGAAATTTCTGTTGAGGAAATTGAACAAATAAAGGACAGTGCAATTCCACAAAACACAAAACTAGCACCAAAATATGGGATTAAACTTTTCAAAGGTAAGGAGTGTTTTTGTAATTAATTTATTAACAATTTGTTTGACAATTTACAACTGGCAGTAAAAAAAGAGCGACCGGGAAAATTACTTGTCTTTTTTAACTATTTTCTACACCAGAATGGTTCTCAGACCAAAACGAGTTCACAACCGAGTTCGAGAACATGGACATTGATGACCTGAATCAATGTCTATCAAAATTCTACATGTCTGCTAGAAAAAAAGATGGTTCTTACTACAAAAAGGCAACCTTAATGTCATTGCGAGCTGCGTTGGATCGCCATCTTCGCTCACCACCATATAACAAAAAATTCTCAATTTGTGACCCGGTCGCCTTTCAAGAAGCAAATAAAACATTGCATTCCTACCTGAAACACCTCATGAGCACTGGAAAAATTGCTGGAACTGTCCACAAAAATCCCTTGACACCTGAAGCGGTACAACTCCTTTTCGAGAAAGGCGAACTTGCTTGCGCTGAAACCCGTGATCCTCGCTGTTTAATGCAAACAGTTTGGTTCTACATTTCCTTGTATTTTGGCAAACGAGGTCGTGAAAACCAGAGGGCAATGAAGAAATCGATGCTACGTCTTTGTACAACAGGAACTGGAGAAGAGTACTTTGAGCTCAATAAAGATGAACCCGGGACGATGCTTTCAAGCAAAAATCACACTGGCGGTCTCGAAGGCACGGAAGACCACTCGGACGGGAAGGTCTTCGCTCTCACAAAATCGCCAAGATGTCCAGTAAATACCATCAAAGCGTATTTAAGTCACTTAAATCCCGACATTGACGTGTTGTTCCAGCGACCAAGACATCCTTCTTCCAGGTTCAACCCAAACGAAGCCATAGTTTGGTACGAGAAAAAAGTACTCGGCCATAACATGCTCAACAACATGATGCGAAATATGTCACAAAGAGCTGGAATATCGCCTTACTATACCAACCATTCGCTGCGAGCCACCACCGTTACTGTTTTATCGTCCAACAACGTTGAAACACGAAAGATTAAAGCCGTAACTGGTCACAGAAGCGATACAAGTATCGAAAGTTATTGCGCCAGACCAACTCTAAGCCAGTTTAAGCAGATGTCGTCGACGCTGAGTTCGTTTGTTCATGGCGAAGAAGATACAGCAGCCACTTCATCTTCGTCAATCATCCCAACTCCAGTTGCCCCTCGTCAACATCCAGCAGAAAGCAGTGCAACAGTCGCAAACAGTACTGTAACCTTTGGCAGAAATGAGGCAAATATCCTTCAAGCACATGGTGTGAAGTGTCCTGAATCAATTCTTCCATCTGGTACTTTCCAGGGATGTTCATTCACATTTAACATCAATATGAACAACAACTAACTTTTCTTGAACGTATTACATTGTTAGATTTTTATTGTGCATGATCCTTGTTGTAAATATATAACGTTTTCAGCGTCTTAGCCTCATTGTTGTTGTGAAGTGTCAAACGAACTTGCCGAACTGCTTTAGAATTCAGATCATGTGTCATGTGATCGATCATTACGTTTTTAAAAAGGAAGTAAATTATATTCATAACGGAAGCACATATTAATTATTTGATTAATTTTGTGAAAGAAATTATACTAAAACAATTATTTACCTCAGTCTCGATGATTATCGGTGAATATTTACCTTGCCGCTTCGCGGCGCGGTAAATATTCACCGATAATCATCTCGACTTCGGTAAATAATTGTTAATTATTTTACTACAATAATACACAGAATCACTACTGTATTGCTTTAGTGAAATATATGGATGCTGTTTTACCGCAAAGTGTATACCCGTACATACGATTACAAGTACCTACACTTCGTTACCCAATGTTTCCATTATTTCTACGACCGCAGGAATGTATGTTAATACATACGGTGAGCAGGGTTTTTACCCGATAAACCCACAGTTTTTTTAAAAATATAGCTAACGATCATTGTATCTTACAGATCAATGGACAAGCACAAGCAGCGGAATCAATCGCCGTAAAGATCAGCTTGGAGGAATATCAAGAAGAGCGAGCATCTAACAACCCGTACTTTGCATTTAGCAACATTGTAGAAAGTAATAGAAACAACAATGATGTAATCAATGATGTAATCGTCAATCTCAAACTAAAAAATTAAAACTTTTTTATTATAAACACTTGTGTGCGTATATATTCTTTTTTACCAACTCAATCATATATAACGATACTAACACCTTGGTATGTTGTAAAATATAACTAACTACATCACAGCTATCACCCATACTTAGCGCATAATTAAAACAATGTTCGAAACGTTTATCAGTTTCAATACTGCCCAATACAGGATAATCCGACAACAAGTTAACGTTGGTTGTATAGGTTCTAATACCCACATCGTTCATCCTATAATAAACTGTCTTGTAAAGACGGTCCGGTAAAATGTCCAAGGTACTACGAAAAAATACATCAATACCGATTATACTATCTATAAATATAATGCTACGATTCAGTGTATTATCTCCGACAAAAAATACATAATCAATGTTTGTATAAAGCACACTGTTATAATACCACGTCATCAAACACACGCCACTGTGTTTTCGTTTTTTAAAAGATTCTACTAGCGCTGTATTAAAAGCTTGTCCCTTCTCACATTCTACAACGCGACGCATGCCTTTTCTTTTTGTTCCACAGTATCTTGTAGGTCTACGCATTCATTAAGCGAAGCCTCTACTTTTTGTAGACAATCACACATCTCCACCATTTTCACATTGATATCTGCTATAAAACTTACAGCAGTTTCACAAAAATCTTCTACAGGTTTCATCCAAGCTTCACTTGTCTGGTACCCATCTTGCTGTATTTGTTGATAGTCTAACAATTCCTTTTTCTCTACACAAACGTTACATAGACAACCCTTACTACAAGACATATTTATTTATTTATTTATTTTCCCAAACAAAACCTCATTTATATGCGATATTTTTACCAATATTTGGTTAAAACCGTTAAAAATATACTCTAAAATTACAATGTCCATATTTGGTCATGGCTTTTTAACACAATTTCCATCGATTACTTCCTTTCTGTAAAAAATAAAAACATATAAATATAACCCAATCTGACATTTTTATTTTAAAATAAGTAACGCTTACCAAAGGTTCAACACCACACAAACGGCGGGAAAGGTGACAGCTAAAGATACGCTACTATTTACCCAATTTTTTTCACCCTGCTTTTTAGCGGGTGGTATAAAATAAAAAAATAAAAAATGTGCGAACAGTTAAAACAAGGGTAAGAACAGCAAAAATTGTTGATTCATTCATATTCTATCAAAAGTATATCAAATATATATCAAATAAATATATATATATATAGGTATCAACTGTGCGAACGTCCTAAAAACTGGTCAGGGGAAACCAAAGAAGAACAGCAAGAGTTGTTCATGCATATTTTATCACACCTAACAACGGCACAACAATTAAAAGAAAAAAACAACTGTTTACACCCTGACCAATTCTTTGCCGCAGCAGATAAACTAATCAACGAAAACTGGGCAAAAGCTGTATGGTATTTTTATCAATTTCTCCTTGGTTGGAATCTTGAGTATCTACCTGCTGCCGGTGTAGAAAATCGCAAAATTATTAAAGAGTTTACCAGTCAGACACTTTATAAAATAAAAATTTTAAGCTTGCTTCCCGACGGTAAAAGAAAACCTTACGCGGAAGTATATGGATACATTGAACACAGTGAACCAAAACAACAACACTAACTCATCAATTTTTCCTTTTTTTTCACAGTATTCACAGCTTTCCTATAAAAAATAAAAAAATAAAAAAAATAAATGTATTAATATAAATGTATTATTAAAAAACATTTTACCTTAATTTTTGTTCTATCAATTTTGTAACGATACAGCTTTATTTTTGGAGAGAATATTTTAATCGATACAAGTTGTCTTGGTGGATAGCAGCTGCAGTAATTTGTACTACAAGTATTTGGTATCTGGAAAAAAATATTTTTTTAATATGATTTCATTTCTACTATTTCTCTTAATCTTTTATGACAGATGGTGGAATTGGATTTATATTTAAAATAATTTTACCTTATTATCCATGATGATGAACCCAGCAATAAGATGCAAGAATAACGTGAAGATGGATCGCCTACCAGCACTAACTAAACAAGAAAAAATATATGTCTGACACTTAACACAACGCTAATTGCAACAACTTAGGGGGGATTCGAACCCCCATTGACTTAGGACTTTTACCCCTCCCCTCCTAAGACGAAGGATTGGGACCCTAACGCGTAACCATTCCGCCACACCGCCTACGACTAGCAATGTGTTAAGACGCCAGACAATATACCTTACACTTATTTGGCTTTTAACTACCTTTTACTTTACCTTCACAATTATTACGGTTTTTATAAACTTTGCTGGTCATGCGTAGTAAGATTTGGCTTAAACATTACGACCATCCTGTTGATTCGTTTATTAATTATTAGCAAACGTATCACCTGGGTGATTGTTAATTTAATTTTTTCAGAAAAGGAAAAAGAAACACCGAAGAAAAGAACCATTGGTGTATTGCATGTGATTGTTTTCTGTTTTTTAGATAACAATTACATACAGTACACTGTTAGAAAACAGAAGTTACTTGCGTAAATGTTTTATACTAGACGATCTTTTGCTTCGCGTTTTACACTAGAAGGAAATTATCGTCTATTCTAAAATTTTTTAAAAAAAGAAAAGAATCTCAAGTCGTAACACAGTGGATTAACGTTTAATAAATAATCAGCCAGGTGATTATTTGCCAGTTATTAACAAATGTATCGCCTGGGTGATTATTTAATTAATTTTTTCAAGAGGAAAATGTGGAAACATCAAGTGGGTAACACGATGGTTACGGTTTTAGAAAATATGTGATTGAAAATTAGTTAGATGATCGCCAAGGTTATCGTTTTGCTATTTTAGAAAATGTACGGTTTGGTATTATCTTAAATTTTTTTACGAAAATATCACACTGTATTTTTTTCTTTTTTTGAAAAGGAAATACGTGGAAACACCAAGTGGTAACACATGACGTCACAGCTTACGCACTTTGAAAAACGGCGGCAAATTCGAACGAACGTCACTTCGGTCGACCACGGCTTTGGGTTCGGAGCTCCCCCACGCATGCGACGCACACAAAAACCACCTGTCAATCACAAAAACACGGTAAGCGTTAGTCCTAAATCGGGAACGCCCCCTTTAAATTATCCCCCCCGTCCGTACAGTCAGCGGATGTTGCCTTTGACGCCCGCGATACTTTCACTTTCCATTCAAAGCTCCAGTTAAATGAAGTAGGTTCACACTCCCCCTTTTTTTTTGGTTTTCCTATTACTATTACTACTAGGGTTTGAAAAGTTGTGTGTAGATGCATCGGGATAGTTGAGAGTAGTCTGTATGTCGAGGAGGGTGTTTCTGTATTGTAAGTTTCTTTGTCAGTATTGTAGTAAGGGTTATTGTTTGGGTTCATCTAGGGTGTTTGCGTTGGGTTGGTTTTGGTCAGTTCGCGGAGGCGTTTTTTTCGTTAAGTTTTGTAGGCCAGTGTCGCTATCATTGTCCATTTGTGAGTTGTCCAAATTTTGTGGTTTACTGTCATTCGTTAATGGATCATTCTAGTTTGTGTATAGTTTATTGTTAGTATATGTTTTTGTCGACCATCTCCTTGTCAAGGACAAGGGCGTCCATTTGCAGTTGGCAAATGTTGTCATTTGTGTCTAGCAGTTTTGCAATTTGTGCGTCGCTATATACAACGCTATATACAACGCTATATACAATCGCTATTTCTGTCTGGTGTCTATGCCGAGCTCTAAATCCATTGGGTTGTTAGTATCATTGTTGTTTGGGTTATCTGTGTCCATATCAGTGCCAGTTCCATTGTCTTTAAAGGCACCGCTATATGTGGACAGTTGAAATTGTTATGTTTATGCCTATCATTTTAACCTATGTGTGTTGGCTTGTGCGAAAATTTCGTAGTGTTGACAAAGTGAAATAAATTATAATTAGGATAGCTGTTAAACTACGAGTTGTGTAATGGTCTTATAGTAGGCCACTTTTATAATTATACTGAACAGTTTATTCCAACTTATTTCTATAATATGCTCAACAATGGAATTTTATCATACTCATGCATGTTTGGTGACCGACTTAATAATTGTTGTAGCGGTATTTAGACTCATAAATAATAGATATTGGTATTGTGTAGTTCAGTATATGTTGTATTGTGCATGCATGCATGCATGCATGCATAGCGTTTCTAATAAACAGATAAAGATTAATAATTGTTGTAGTGGTATTTAGACTCATAAATAATAGATATTGGTATTGTGTAGTTCAGTATATGTTGTATTGTGCATGCATGCATAGCGTTTCTAATAAACAGATAAAGATATTAAATCTGCATGTGTATTGTACTGTATATGTATTCAGTCTAGAAAACTGTCATGTAGAGGGAGCCTGGTGTAGCTGTGCTTTCCGTTCCCTATTTGTGTAACTCGCAATATTTTAATTTTGTGATAGGTAATAGGACCTCGTCTTGGACCTGTGGTTTACTTATATTCATTATATATTGAATGGATTTCTTATATTTTCAACGGGGTCTTGAAAGTAGACCATGCCGTGAAACACCATATAAGAGGTGCATGTGTATAACAGTACGCTGTTTTATGTCTTTATATGTCAATCTGTTGTAGAAATATCGTAATTGAAGCATTTACTGTGTGTAAAGTTGTTACTTAGTAATTGATAAGTGTGATTTGACGATCTGCATTTATCACAGGGTTGGATTTGACCATCCCACAATATTGCAAATTAGGAATTGGTAATAAGATTTGCACAGTCACTTGTGATTTTGTGTTGTGAAATTGTCCTTTAATCTCATTTGAGTGAATGGTTTTCTTAAGTTTATCTTCACAGGGTCTAGAAAGTAGACATGCAGTGAGATATTGTAAACTTGGTCTTTGTTGTTAACTGTGTAGTTCATATATTTGTCCAGCCACATGTTGTGATTGGGGCTATGTGAGGATTGTAAGTTTATTCCTTAGTATTATTGAAGTATAGATGCAGTTAGATTATGTGCATGTTCACAGGGTTTTGAAAGCAAACCATGCCACGGAATATGTGTCCTGTATCTAACTATTGATAGGTAAAATACCTAAAAGTAGATGTTGTATAATCTACAAAGTTGTGGTTTATAGGATCGGGCAGACCATTTGATTGTGCCACAAGGGGAAACCTAAGTAGAAATAGTTACCTTTGGCTAATCGTCCTGCTGGTTTGCAGTGGGCTTGGGTAGATGTTTTACAATATACAAAAAACGTGGCGCCTAAGGTGTGGCTAAAAATGTACTCTACAGAACAGCAGTTATTCTGCACTATATACTATGGATTAATACTGTTAAGTAATAATATATATAATAAGGATTGATTGTCGAAAGTAGCCTGAAGCAATCCGAGCCAGCTTCGCAGTTCAACCGCATGTGGAATGACCTTGGACAAACCATCTCATTGGTATAACAAAATTACATTAAGAAGATAGATGGATGGTATTGTAGAGATGTTGTGCTTTTTAATGAGATGGATGGTGTTGGAGAGATGTTGTGATTTTTAATGAAGCATTGAATAATGATGCGACTGTGCATTGGGGCTAGCAAACTTCACAGAGTCTTGAGTTGACCTTGTTTGTGAAGTATGTTAGCGGATGGTATGTATGGAAGATACAGTATATATCGTTGTGTTGATTGTGCTTTTTCATTTTGGTCCTCGACGTGTTTCGGTCTCATGACCTTCATCAGGAAGGGCTTCAGGGAAGAGAGTTGATGTTTTGTTGGTTGTTGACAAGAGGAATGGTAATGAGGGTGGTGTTGTTCAAATGATTTGGTATATGGCATAGGATGCAGTGATGGAGAAGTAGTGAGTAGTCAACATAATAGAAAATGATAAAATTATGAAAAGCAATAGAATGAAGAAGAAAGAGGGAAAAATATTTTAATTTTGTGATAGGTAATAGGACCTCTACATGCGTCTTCGACCTGTGGTTTACTTATATTCATTATATATCTAATGGATTTCTTATGTTTTCAACAGGGTCTTGAAAGCAGACCATGCCGTGAAACACTGTATAAGAGGTGCATGTGTATAATGGTGTGCTGTATTATGTCTTTATATGTCAATCCATTGTAGAAATATCGTAATTGAAGCTAGCATTTACTGTATGTAAAGTTATTGCTTAGTAATTGATACCTCATCCGTCATCCGTAAGCGCAGTTGCGATTAATTTGAGGGACTGTGAAATTGTGACTCAAAAACTTGCAAAAATGCTCGAAAATTGGAAATGTGCTTGAAAATTTAAAAAACATTGAATATGGAGAAATTGAGGATGTTTTGGACAATAGCGGTCCTTTGTTTGTACATGGAAAGTGTTTTGTCTGAATCGCATGATGAATTAGAGATATTAATGCAATATTTATCTCTTGATGATGGTGAGTGTTGACATTTTATAGCAATATGCCTTTGACTCTTTGAGTATAAAAATATAATATAGGTAAGATTTTGATTAGGTTTTCATGATTTATATTGTTCCATGAAAGTAATTGTACCTTTACATATTCGTAAAAGCTGGGTAAATGCTCTATAATACGGATTATTTTTATTTAATTAAAAATTGAAAATTCTGCAGAATATTTTTCATGTGCGATTTTATATATAATACGCCAATTAACATGTCAACAAATAAGTCCACAAGAAGTCCTGCTCAGGGTAAACATGAACTGAACTGCCCTTGTGTAATGTTTTGCCAAAAGCGAATATATCTTATGGTTGGTCTTAAGTTACTCTTTGTACTTGCCAAATGTGTACTTGTGTAGGACTTTTCAATTTTGCTTAAAAATAGCAATATGTGAAATATGCATTCTGAATAATAATTTTTTTAATGAAAATTTTTTAGCCAGTGGGGATCTCAGGTTCTCCTTGGCTTTAGTCCTTGGGATTTGAGGTTTAGGAGTTTTGAACAGGCCTCCGTGTTATGGATTTATTTTAACCTACCCCCTGTGTTTTACCTAGACACCCCCCCCCCCAGGTTTAGCATTACCACTTCATCACAAGTAAATAGGGTTTGGCAATATTTTGATATTATCAATGATACATGATTGTATGTACTCAAGATCATCATATTGAAAGTAAAAGCTGAGTCATGATGGAGTTATCATCAGGGCCAATAACTAACAAAGCTTAATGATATAAAATTTTAAAAAAACTTTGCTTAATCCATCCTTGAATTGGAAACCA